CTACGAGTGCTTCAGCGAGGTGGGCGAGCGTGGCCTGGCCGAGTTCCGAGACGTGAGTAGCTGCGACCGGGCCCGGGCGGCCGACGGGGCTTTCTGGGAGAACGAGGGGAGGTAGAAGGACCCCGAGGGGGCCCGGCGGGTGGGTGACGCGGCAAAAGGCGAGCCGGGCAGGGTAGTTGCCGTCGGGAAGGTGTGGGTTTCATTCCGATGGTGCGATGTAAAAGACTGCAAGAATGCTCCTCTTCCTTCTCTCCCCGGCTCTGACTCGCAGATGTGCGGCTAATCTCTATATCGCATTTGCCTGCAAGCGAGGTAGGGCGATGGGAGGCCGGTGTGGAGCCGCAGCCTCCCGAGACTCAAGGGAGGGGTGTTTTTGGGGTGACTGTTATCCTGCCTCTCTCACAGAATTAGTTTAACTTAGGGGTTTTTTTTTGCAGTGGGATCCCCTGGGAGAGCCCCTTATTCACCTGAAGGCACACTGACTTTAGGCCGAGTGTATGTGCTCAGCTCATAGATATCCCCACCCCATTCACACATCGATAGAAAGAAAAACATCTTAGCTGTTCTGTAGGCTTATTTCTTCAGCATTGCAGAATGCTGGTTTGTAAAACTTGTCTGTTCCTGGAGGAGCAATTAATCTTGGAGGAAACTACATGCCTGACTGACATAAAATTGGGTCGGCTAATAATTAACCTTGTTGCTGCATTGCCTTATTGTAATTATATGATCTTTGCTTGATGACCGAGACTTTGGAATTTCTTCCCAGTATTCTTCAGAAATATAGGTAGCAAAATATTTGCAGGGAAAGCTGGGAGAACTTAACAGTTAGTAAATATGGCAGGTAAGAAGAGACAAATCTGTAAGAACCTCGGCGTGGGTGTTACATTTAACATGTTGATGCCATTCCAAGTATCTGACAGACCATTTATTCCAGAAAGAATGTATTAGTGGGTCTGAATTAAAGGCTGGATAAGTAGTCAGAGATATTGCACACTTGTAATATGGGTGTGTTCGTAAAAAGATTCTTTCAAAGCTTAACATTTCAAATAGATTCTGTGGAAATCCATTGCAAAGGTTTGCTTGTAGAAAGGTTTGTTGATTTGAAGTCATTAAGCAGTATTTTAAAATTCTAGACATTAAGATTAGGAATGGTTTCTCCACTAGATCTAGTTATTTTGTTATTTGAGTAAAACTAGCAAAAGGCACTGATAATTCTGCTTTAATAGAACCAACCTTGCTATTTGGAGACTTCTAAATCTTTTTAGGTTTTCATACCTTCTTAGCTGAAAAGCACTTTGCAGAAAGAGAGCATATAGAATACATGCAAAATTGTCTCCGTGAAGTCACAGAAATAGCTGTGTTTTTATAGGGGTGGTTGCTATTTTAAATACCTAATAAGCATTTTGTCGTTCTCCTTCAGCTTAACCCAAATGTAAGTGTATTTCAGAGAAAATTTGTGAATGAAGTAAAGAAGTGCGAAGAAATGGAAAGAATACTTGGTGAGCTTTGTTTTCACGTCTGCCCTTTCTCGTCTGTGGCATTATTAAAGTTTACATTGCTAGAGTGGAACTACGGGGGAGGTTTCAGGTGCAGGGTTTTTTTAATCTCCCCAGTGTTGTATGATCTGAATGCTGTAGAGTCTTATAAAATTTTCATATCTAGGAAAAAATACACATACGAACACTCACATGTAGAGTTTTTATGCTGATTTTTGAAGCTGGAGATGACTTGACTGTAGTACTGAATTGGGTCAGAACATACAAATATACTCCTTAATTTGTTTTGACGTGCTGCATCAGTTTTGAGTGTATCACAGAGTTGTTTAGGTTAGAAGGAACGTCTTGAGATCACCTAGTCAACCCCTAGCTCAAGCAGGGGCAGCTTCAGCAAGTTGTCCGGGAGTGTGTCCGGTGGGATTTTGAATTATGGAGACTCCACAAGCTCTCTGGGCAACCTCTTCCAGTGTTTTGTGACTGATTTCTGTTTCTTGGTTTTGTGAGCTATGAAATTTTCTTAGACTACAACATGTATGTGCTAAATACAGGTTGGGGTTTTTTTAAGCTCAGAGGTGAGGGAGAGTTGCTAATGTGTTGCCGATAAATGGTTGAGACCATTTCAGTGTTGGCTGCTTAAAACTCTGCTAGGAAAATGGAAGCTTTACCCTGGATACTTCCCTGACTACAAGATAAACCGTTTTTTGTCTTATATGACTCAATATTATGGAACTTTCAGACACCCTCAAAAATATGTCAAGTTGTTAATAATTGTATTCACGTGGTAGTTAATGAATAGAGAAGGGTATGCAGAGCGTTACAACCAAGATGCAGATTTCTTCAGTGTATCCCGAGGAAAAGTTACCGCTAAAGGGTTCTTTTTATTGGAATCTCGTCAGAGGCATGTGCTGGTCATGCCAAACCATCCCAGTGGCTATTTTGGCAGTCTCCCTGCTCAGTGTGAGTTGCATTTGTTGTCAAGGTTGCTTAAGCTGCCTTGTTTGAACACTTTTTATTCCAAATTTGGGTCAGTGAGCAGAACTTCAGTTTTGGGCAGATAGCATGATTAGCAGAAAGTGGTATCTTTGCAGCAGCAGAGAGATACTGTAAAAAGGTAAAAGCTTCTTAAAAAGTACTTGTGGTTGGAAAATTTCAGAGGACTCTGAAGATAGCTTACTTTGCAAACTTCTAAGACAGAAATGTGCTGTGTATTTATTCCTAGCACTCCGTAAACCCCTCTTTTTTGAAGACTAGTGTGTGTGTTGTTGCTAAAACAAATGAATAAAAACTAGGGCCCGATGCTGCATTGTGATCAGCACCATCAATAACAGCTGAAGGTCAACTATGCAGCATTATAGGAAGTTAAGGAAAAGCCTTTTCCTTAATGATCCTGTTTTTCTTCTCTCTCCAGGGTATTTAGTACAAGAAATTAAAAAGGCAGATATTCCACTCCCTGAAGGAGATGTTGCTCCTCCTGCCCCCTTGCTGAAACACACTTTAGAAATCCAGGTAACTTTTCCACACAACAGATGCCAAATGTGTAGCTCTGGATCTTGGAACTTTAATTCAAACTTAATTACTTGCTATTGTATTACCTATGACTTAAATCATAAGGGTGTGGCCAGGGGGGTGGAAGCATTTGCTTTCGGTTTTGTCCATTATTTTTCCTTTCTACCAGTGTTACTTCAAAGACTGCCAGTGAGGATTTGATATTAACACAAAATTCCTGTGGAAGGGTCAAAGCTGACTCGCAGGGCTTGCCGTCATCTGTTGTATTTTGATGGATTGGCATATTACACTGTTTCAGGCAAATTATCCGTGGGTGTAGTCCTTCAGTTTCTTTGGGAACTTCAGTTGCTTTGGGACTTACCTAAGGGTCTTTTCATGCATCTAAAATTTCCAGGGTGTGTGTGAGTTTTGTATGTCCAAGGGTCTGCAGGTTCCAGTGCTGGTTTGCATAGCAAAACGTGCTATTTTCTTTGAATGCTTTTTCTGATACTGCGTTAGAAGTAGAAGCTTGTAAAATGCAGGTATAGTTTCGAATGACATTCTGTTTTGCTGTAATTCTGTTAATAGAACAGATAAGTGTCTTGCATGCCATACTATCTGAATTTCTAATTCCAAATCTGCGTTACTTAGCTTGGACACGAATAAGGGTGAGAACAGCAGACTTAACAGATGCCAGTGGAGGATCAAGTATACTCAATACAAAGCAACCTTTGGCAGATCGAAGGATAAAACCTACGGAGCTTAAGTTAATTAAACAATTGGGAAACTCCTATCGTTGCAGCAAATTAACATGTGCTTAAAATTCATCCTCCCCTGATTTCCAAAGCAGTATAACTGATTCTGTCACTTTTTCCTCCATGTCTTAGGAACAGTTGCAGAAGCTGGAGACAGAACTGAGGGAAGTAACTAAAAACAAAGAAAAGTTGAGGAAAAACCTACTTGAACTGACAGAATACACATGCATGTTAGAGGTCACACAGAGATTTGTCAGGAGAACAACTGAGGTATTGCTTATGTTGTTTGAGGAGTGTGTGTCGTGGTGTTTTTGTTGTATGCTGTAAGTAGTTCTAGTTAAGTGCATGACTTGGTGTCAGGCTTTACAGCACTGTACATTGTTCGTTGTACCTAGAGAACCTGGCTGGCAACTTCTTGTGCTACGCTGCATTCATATACATGGCAAAATGCAGCCCTGAACTTAGAGGAGCTTTGTGATTTCTCTGTTGAATTGTCTGAATGCTACTGCTGATGCCAACTGAAAATGAACGCATATTTGTGTTATTTTGATGCATAAACTGTGATAAGAAATTTACCACGTAATCTTTGCAACGCTGAGTATAGTTGCTAAGAGCAGTGGATGTGAGACCCCAAGATCTTTCTGTTGTCTGAAACACAGAAAAGGGTTTTATATTTTTGTTGAAATAATTTACATAATTAGCTTTTCTTCTTTAGAATAATAAATTAATGAAAAATATTTTTCTTTTCTGAAAGCTTTGAATGACCTTTCTTTTATTTGCTAGTATGAATCCCGTTTACAGACAAATTATGAAGAATTTGCAACTGTGGAAAATGAGCAGTTGATGGATTACAACTGTATGCACAGACTGGGTGCCAAGCTGGGGTAGGTATGGTTCAGTCCACGTATGGCAGGTTGTCAGTGTGGGCTGTTTCAAAACTGCTTGATGAGCTGCTGTAAATAATGGGCTGTTTTCTTAAAAGATGGAATGTAGTGTGACTAGTGATTTCAGATGAGCCAAACAGTTTTAGACAGGGTAGCAGTCTGGCCCAAATGCACCTTTGTAAGAAAATTCGCTGAAGAGATAAGTAGGACAGCACCAAAAAAACTGTCACAAAAGTTCCATCAAACCAAATATGCGTGTTAAGGAAAATCTTTAATGCTTTAAGTCAGTACTTTCTTTCACTGTTCAAACTTTTTTTTTTTGTAAACACACAGTGTTTTAATCATCTGGCAGTGGCGGTTGTAACATTATTAATGGTATTGCCTACTTGCCTTTACAATGACACATGGATACTGGTTTCTACACCACCATTGTAAGAGGGTATTGTACCAAGAAAAAATTAGTAACCCTATCGTCACAGAAAGAAACGGTGTCAAATATAATTCTAGTTGTGTGTTCAGGCCTTACAGTCTTTGTTTCTCAAATAGAAATTGAGTCTATTTTATATACCAGTTACTTCCTGTGTAGGGTGATGCTTCCTGTTCTAGAGATGGCAAATGTTAAATTGTTGTGACTATGTGATACGAAGTGATGATGTACTCTGAATTTTTAATTTTTCTTGTGGACTTCAGCTTATTTTTCAAATATTTTCTTTTCCATAGATTCATGTCTGGGTTAGTTCACAGAGCAAAAGTTGAAGCATTTGAAAAAATGCTGTGGAGAGTCTGTAAAGGCTTACATATTCTTACATATGCAGAGTTGGATGAGTGCCTGGAAGATCCAGATACAGTGAGTAAACATCGTAACTATCAGTTTATTTCATTCTGTACTTTTCATGAGACTTAGAAGAATTGCTGCTTAGCTCTGCAGTGAATGTAAATGATTTCCCAGTGCCCTTAGAGGGAAAACTATTTTTAAATATTTTAACTATTTAAGTATTTTACTAATTTTAACTATTTAACTATTTTAAGTATTTAACTATATTTAAGTATTTTTAACTTGTAAGGCCTTAAAATTAGAGGTCTTGATGCCACCATAACTATAGGAGTGGCAGTTTATCGTGGTTCAGCTTGATGACTGCAGAACTTTATTGTGGTATAGCAGTGACTTTATGATTGGCTACCTTGATCAAAATACGTGGCATAAATGGCTGCTTGGATATTTATTAACTAGGTCTGTACAGTGCATTACCTCTTAATAGTAAATTTATTTGTTCATTCAGTAGTTAAGGAAAAAAAGTCTGGAGTACAGTTGGTCTTCTATTAAATTTTGTTTTCTGAACTTACAAAATTAATTTTTTGTAAATCAGCTATTATGTCTGCCTAATCTGTCACTTAAATTCTAATTTGTATAATTTTAATTTTTTAAGACGTTTTGTTACTAATAATTCTGAGATGGTAAAATATAATATTGCTTTTATTTACCCTGAAAACTTTTTCTGTTTTTCTCTACTATTAAAAAAAAAAAAAAAGTTTGGCATACTTGAATTTTATTTCTTGATCTTCACTAAAATAGTGGGAGGTTAATGGCACTAACACAGCTTTTTCTCATTACTCAGATTTGTCATCTTGCTCTATAACTATGTCACAGTGGAATTGTTGGTTAAAAACAAACTTCATCAACTTTTTTTTTTTTTAGGGCGAAACCACAAAATGGTTTGTTTTTTTAGTGTCCTATTGGGGTGAAAAAATTGGCCAGAAAGTTAAGAAGATTTGTGACTGGTAAGAAGTAAAACTAATACATATATAAATAAAATTTCATTATACCTGGGTTATTTTCTTGTTAGTTTTTCCCCTTCTCCCCTTCCTGGTTAGTGTTGATTATTAGGCAAGGTTTTTGAAGTTAAATTTGTTGTCTCCCATCACCACCCGCCATTGCATATGGCTTTATAATTATGCAATATGCAAATAAATGAGTGTCATTTTATCTGCAGTCCTTAAGTGCAGGCAAAATACTGACTCTCTCGGTTGAATCTCTTCCATGGTTATTAAATGGTGTGTTGCAGATTTGACTAGGGCATGGGGTTGGGTGATTTGTTTTGTTTTAGTTTGGTTATTTAACACAAACTTCTGTTTTTCTGTAGCTATCACTGTCATGTGTATCCCTATCCAAATAGCCTGGAGGAGCGGAAAGCAGTTGTGGAAGGACTAAATGTTCGTATTCAGGATCTTCATACTGTGAGTAGATAACAGTAGGCTCTTTGCTGTGGTTATTGCACCCTAAGAAATGGTTTGAGTCACAGCATTAAATACATGAATATGTTTCTAAAATACATACAGCTTTGGATCTGAACATGACTCTATGTCTTGTCCCTGGTCTTGTGCTGCCTGTATTTATTAAACTTGAGGGCACTTGGCATTGATGTCTGTCTTCAGCAGTGGTTAATGTGTCCTCCTACAAATGTGATCCAGCATTGGACAAATACCAGGTGTTCTCACTGTGGTTAACATAACCACTGGTACATTTTTAATGAAATCTTTTTGGTTTTTATCTTGGACAAAGGTACTGCATAAAACTGAAGATTACTTACGCCAAGTCTTGTGTAAAGCATCTGAATCCATCTATACATGGGTTATCCAAGTGAAGAAGATGAAAGCCATTTATCATGTACTCAACCTGTGCAGTTTTGATGTCACAAACAAATGTTTAATCGCTGAGGTTTGGTGTCCGGTGGCTGATCTGCAGAATTTGCGCCATGCCTTGGAGGAAGGTTCAGTAAGTCAGCTGAATGCTTGCTGATGTTAAGACTTTTGCCTTGAACTAACTATACGGATAAGGATAGAACTAACTATACGGATAGAACTAACTATAAGGATAAGGAAAGAAAATAATAATTTAAAATGGGGCTAGAACTAAGCACAGGCAGGTCTGGCGCTCTCTGAACTCATCTAAAACATTTTCAGTTTTTGTTTGTTTGTTTGTTTTTTCTTGAATAAGAACTTCTGTGTTGGACCCAAGTCTGACTGGGCTAACAGTGCTATTTGCAGTGAAGTAGAAGGTGCTGGTTCCCTTGTGTTAGTTACATTGAGTGCAGCTCCATCTTTTTGTTCTACGAGAGAGTTTTTAGTAACAAATTTTTGTTTTATAATATTGACTGATGATTCTCATTTGGTATTTCATATAAAGTAAGAATTGGAACACTGTACATAATTAGTGTTTTTAGAGGAACAGATTAATGTAATTTTTTTTTTTTTAAGAAAGTACAAAGGGATAAATGTTAAACCTGGGTCTTAATTTAGGGAAGTTCAGTATCAGTGAAACAGCTGATAGAGAAAATCTTTTTACTTTGTTTAGATTAAATATCAACTGAGTTTTCATACAAACATATCTTCTTTCTGCCTACAATTAGAGGAAGAGTGGAGCTACAATTTCTTCATTCATGAATACCATCCCAACAACACAGCCTCCTCCAACTTTGATACGTACCAATAAATTCACCTCAGGGTTCCAAAACATCGTTGATGCTTATGGAGTTGGAAACTATGGGGAAGTTAATCCAGGTTGGTCCTTCTGAAATCTGAGCTGTGCTGTCGTTACTGCTTGCCTTGTTATGTGTTTAAATACCTTGCTGAATTGGACACTAGTAAAGGCAAAATGGTGACAACCATCCTGCTTATTAGTAGCTGTTTTAAAATTTCAGTAGCTTGTAAAAGTACAAATGATGCTCCAAGCAGTAAGATGGGATTGGATTTTGCTGAGTTATTTTAGCATTAAAGATACCGATAATAGCTGTATGCTATTCTTTATATGCTTTACCTTGGAATAAGATCAGATATTTAGGGGGGGAAAGAAAACTTTGGTACTGACTGTTGATCTTACTGAAGTGTGGAGCTCATCACTTGAAAAAAATCCAGCTTGTTGTATAGCCTCGTTAAGTTTAATGTCCATATGTATTTTTGCAGCTACCTTGTCTATGTCATACTGTACAGGAGAATGTATGTTATAGTACAGAGCCAAAATAGCCACAGAGGAAGAACAGTTTGGTTTTTATTTGCTGGGCTCATATTATTATCCTCAGAATTGTTAGCTAATGCTTGACTGCGGAGTTGGCATTACCAGGGGATATACATAAGCAAGCTTTAAACCGAGTTAAATTTAAAGTGTGGGTCAAAGGTCTATTAGCAGTGGGTGAACCGTCTCTCAAACTTAAAGCTGAAAATTGTTTGAGAGGTTGAAGTAGTTGAATTGCTTAGGCATAATTCAGATAGCAACGTCATCTATTGTGCTGTGTGCCTGAAATCTGTTACATTGTCGTTTCAGCTCTCTATACCATCATCACTTTTCCCTTCTTGTTTGCGGTTATGTTTGGAGACTTTGGGCATGGTCTACTTATGTTCATATTTGCACTCCTGACAATACTGTATGAAAACCACCCTAGATTAAAAAGATCACAAGATGAGGTAAAAGGAATTACAAGGAATTTACTCACTATCCAGCAAGATAACTTCAATTGAATAGTTACTATGTTTCTGAAAAGTATTATTTATTGCACATGTATTAGATGGGGTTTTTTTTCCTTTGTTTCAGGTTTTTTTGTGTTTAAAGTTACCATATTGCTCAAGATTAGTGTGATAATCTTAAACTATTCACTATTTTTGAAAGGGCAGAAATAATCAAGTTGGAATGAAAGACTGACAAAAATTAGTTGCTACTGTTGGCCTTGTCTTTCCTGCTGCTAGGGCTGCTTAGTGATATGTGTGCTTTACAGAATGTGCTTACAGTGACTAATGTGAGGAGAAAATGATTTTTCAAATTCCAGCATCCTTTATTGTTTCTGAAAAGGAGTTGTAGTTTGAAATTTATGAAGTTTAATGTTAACTAATTTTTTAACGATACAGGGTTGGAATGCGAGTACCTGTGCATCTCTCATTAGAATTATGTTTAATTAAGAATGGCTGCAAATGACTAACTTCTTGAGAACTTGTCTCAGGAAGGAAACATGATTTAAAATGACTTCGTTAGTATAACAATGCCAGTGAGAAAAGTCTCAGTTTGTGTCACGGGAACTTGTATGGGTACTTCAAATCTCTGCATTCACTTTAAACCACAAATGTCTTTCAGAATATGCTTCTTGCTGCTAGCTCTGGATCCTAATGCATATAAACTTTTGCACATAAATCACCTGACAGAAAGCTGTGAATGTGGGGAGATGAACTGTACCCATTTGGTGATTGCCATTTGTAAATTGCATATTTACATGCTTAAAGCAAAATTCTCTGTGTTACATCTTGGTTGGCTGTAGGTTTCTTCGTATTCCTTAATGACTATTCACAAGAAATTTTAGTTTTTAGAAGTCTTGGTGTGGCCGAAAATGTGTTTCTCTTAGTAATGTGTAGATAACGATTGTTCACATAGCAGATAATGATCTCTATTTTGTCTTTTTTCCAATACTTACAGATAATGAAAATGTTATTTGAAGGCCGATATGTTATTTTATTAATGGGTCTGTTTTCTGTATACACTGGATTGATCTATAATGACTGCTTTTCGAAGTCATTAAATATATTTGGTTCTGGATGGAATGTTTCAGCAATGTTTGAACAGAAGGTTTGGAGGTGAGTAGCATGCCTCTGTTTGCTATACCATTAAAACAAAAATATACTTCCTGCAACAGTTTAACCCTTTTGGTCAGCCATTTTAGCTGTCCTTAATAGTTATTGAGAGGAGTAAGTAAATGTAGTGACGTCTAGCAAAATCATAGAATAGTTTGGGTTGGAAGAGATCTTTAAAGGTCACCTAGTCCAGCCCCCCTGCAATGAGCAGAATCCCTCTGGATGGCATCCTGTCCCTCAGGCATGTCAACCTCACCACTCAGCATGGTGTCATCTGCAAACTTGCTGAGGGTGCATGCAATTCCACTGTCTATGTCACTGATGAAGATATTGAACAGTACTGGTCCCAGTAGAGATGCCTGAGGGACACTACTTGTCACCAGTCTCCATCTGGACATTGAGCCGTTGACCAGTACCCTCTGGATGCAACCATCCAAACAATTCCTCATCCACTGAACAGTCCACCCATCAAATCCATCTCTCCAATTTAGAGAGAAGGATGTTGTGAGGGATCTTGTCAAAGGCCTTATAGAAGTCCAGATAGACAACATCTGTAGCTCTTCCCTTGGCCACTGATGTAGTCATTCCATCATAGAAGGCCACTAGGTTGGTCAGGGAGTTGTTAAATCCAATTGTTAAGGTAGTAAGTGCTGGTGTGCTAAGGGCTAAGTGATACATCTAAGCTTAAAATAAAAAGAGGTGAATAGTTATTTAAAACAAAAAAAAAAAATCAAATTGCTTATTATCTTAAATTGGGAAATCCACAAAGAACATAATTTCTTGCAAAACCAGTCTTAGAATTTGATTGTATTTAATTCAGACAGTGTATCAGGTTAATTTCATATTTATCAGTGCTGCTTTATTAGATTTATGTGTCCTCAGTTACCTGGAACATTTTCTAGAATATTACCATTTTGGTATAGATGACAATCGGTCTTCTCCTGGAACAATTTCTTTTGCAATACCCTAATGCTGTATGCCAGCTGATAACTTTTAGTGATTAAAAACTGCATCTGGCATAGTATCCTTTTATTGGTAGTAAGAACTTGCACCTGATTTTATAAGGTGGTATTTGTAGGGTTTATTCAGTCTCTAAACCTTTTTAGGGGTGTTTTGCATCTTTTTTTTTTCTGTGGTCTCACAAAGGTGTTCTTAGGAATGGCTGGAGACTTCAGTAATATTGTAAAATCCTACCAGAAGGCACTTGGATGTTGTCTTGTCTTGTATCATTTTCATTCATAGAAAGCGCACTGCCTCCTGTGTTATGGTTTGTCTTTATGCTAATGGTTTTAATTTGTCTCCAATTACGATGTTTTCCAGGAGAGGTTTCTGAATATATATATATATATATATCAGATTTTGAGAGGAATAGAAAACACAAGGCTAGTTTTGGAGAAATTTGTTCTCGGTCATGCTTCTGGAATGAATAGCTAAGCAGCATTAGCATCTACTGTAAAGACATTAACAGTTAATGAAATAAAATAAATTAGTTACTTAGCAATCATTAGTCCTTGCACAGTTTTTCTTGGTAGTAAAAAAAAAAAAGAAAAAAGTAGGCTATATGAATTGTCAAACCTACTTTTTCACAAAGTGGGGTAACCTCATTGTTTTGAGGTGTCATGGCCCTTTGGTACTTAAAAGTTCACAGCTTGCGTCTCGTTTTGCCTCAAAAACAGGAAGTGGCTTGAAATAGTCGAGACAAAACCACTGACTTTGGTTAAAATGCAAACAGGTTGTGAATGCTGTGTTAATTAAAAACCATATGAAGTTAGAGTGGGAACTCATCCAGATGCAAAATGGAAAAAAATACCTATTATTCTTTGGGTGTTTGTTAGTGCATTTTATATAAAAGCAAACTGTGAACTTTTTAAATAAAACTTTCCATTCTAGGGGAATGAAGAATAAAATCCAGAAACTTTTCTTTCAAAGACATTTAGTGTCAATTAAGCCCAGATCGTGAGTTTCTAGAGATTTTTTTTTTCCTGTTGTTTTTATTAGCTAGGCCCTTTGGGCTTAGAAGTCTGTTTATTCTTTTAAAATCTGACAGTGGGTGAACTAGTCATATAAAGGAAAGCAGGAGCAATGTCCTGCAGAACTGAAAGTATTGGTTGTCACTATGTTTAAACAATGTCAGATCTGACTATGTTTTTCTTTCTCTGCAGTCTTCAGGATCTGAAGTCTAATCAATTTTTAACACTGGATCCAAATGTTACTGGTGTATACAATGGAGCGTATCCCTTTGGAATTGATCCGGTTAGTTTTATTCTTTTTAATTATTCATTTGTGATGTGATCAGTCATTTGTAAATTAGATTTTGGTATGTGTTAGTGTCGTGCTTTAACCCCATCTGGCAGCTAGCTCATCACACAGCTGCTCGCTCATCCTCACCAATTTTGATGAGGGAGAGAATTGGAAGAGTAAAAGTGTGGGTGGGGGGAAGCAAGCTGTGCATGCAAGCAAAGCAAAGCAAGGAATTCGTTCACTGCTGCCCATGGGCATGCAGGTGTTCAGCCGTCTCCAGGAAAGCAGGGCTCCATCACGCATAATGGTTACTTAGGAAGACAAACTCCATCGCTCTGAACATCTCTCCCTTCTTCTTTCTTCCCCCAGTTTTATATACTGAACATGATGTCATATGGCATGGAATATTTCTTTGGTCAGTTAAGGTCAGCTGTCCTGGCTGTGTCTCCTCCCAACTTCTTGTGCCACCTCAGCCTACTTGCTGGTGGGGCAGAATGAGGAGCAGAAAAAGTCTTGAGTGCTTAGCAACAACTGAAAACACCAGTGCGCTGTCACAGTATTCCCATCCCAAATCCAAAACATAGCACTCTACCAGCTGCTAGTAAAAAAGTTAACTCTGTTCCAACTGAAACCACAACACTTAGGAAAATAAATCTTACCATGGAAAAAATACATTGCTGCTTGCATTCTCCATTCAGAAAGAGCTTTTCCCTTAATAAGTCAAAGAAAGACTTAACTATTTGCATGAAACTTAAATTTCAGTTGTGAACCTTGTTTGAGGTAGAATATTGGTCTCCAGTAGAGAAAGGATGCCGTTTCATTCGTTCTATTAGACTGTTCTTTAATGCTGGTTTTGTCTTCTCTTCTTCAGATATGGAATTTGGCAAGCAACCGTCTCAGTTTTTTAAATTCTTTCAAAATGAAAATGTCTGTGATTTTTGGAGTGACTCACATGACGTTTGGAGTTGTATTGGGGGTATTTAACCACTTGTAAGTACAATAAGTTAAGATAATAGTAACATTATAGTTTTTGTCCAGTTGTGAATTATAACAGTTAATCTGGTAAGAAAAACTAACAATTTTTTAAAAAACAGAACAATAGTAATTGTGAAAACTGTTCTTAAAAAGAGATAGTAACAGAGAGGTCTTCCTTCACGTAAATAAGATGATGGATCAGTATTATGTCAAAAAATCTGAAGGCATCAATTGATACAAGATTTTACTTCACTTGTTGCTAAATGGAGATACATGCCTCTTGTGGTCTTGGTTTCCACTGACATACCTGGTTAGAATTTCACTGAGTATGAAGAAATCTGTTTTGGATTGTAATTTCAGCCTTGCTGTTTATAAGTGCTGGGTACTGTTCTGTTTTATTGGGATTATGTTTGGGCCATATATTTATCTTGATTATTCTTTGTAAAACTTATTTTTCATTTTCATCTTTCAGGCATTTCAAGAAGAAGTATAATATTTATTTGGTTTTTCTTCCTGAACTTTTATTCATGATGTGCATCTTTGGCTACCTTGTGTTTATGATCTTCTATAAATGGCTAGCGTACTCTGCAGAGGACTCCACGTCTGCTCCTAGTATTCTGATTCAATTTATTAACATGTTCCTGTTTCCTGGTGGTGAAACAGAGGTCTTCTACACCGGACAGGTTAGTAGTGTTCTTACAAGCTTCTGAAGATCCTGTTGTTCCCCATGCAGATAACACTTTACCAGTCATGAAAGGCTGATGTCTGAGTGTACCCCTAGGACAGGGAATATATCAGACTAAGGGGAATTAAATAAACATTATGATTAAATAACATATTTACTCTTTATCTGGTTGTAAGATTTTATGTAGTGACTTGTTGAAAATACCTGTTTCTAGAACAAAATATCCCAGGTTTAAATTAAGGCTAGAGAACGAAGTCTCATGCTTGTAATTTTGATGCTTTTCTATGTGCTGTAAATAACCTTACAAAACTGAGTATCAGTACTGCCTTAATCTAGAACCCAGTCCTGAAGATGCTGGATATCTGTAAGCCAATTTAAGGGCCTGATTAAGTAAAATGTATATGTTCAATTTGGAATACGTGCTCACTGAAATCAGTAGTACTTTTCTTATGCTTAAACAGGCCTTTAAAGGAAAATGGGAAGGCTTTTCCTGCTTTGGGTGTTGTGATCTAATCTAGTTTTCTTTTTTGCTTTCCCTCCCTACCAGGTTGCTCTACAGAGGTTTTTACTTAGTATTGCTTTTCTTTCTGTTCCTGTAATGCTTTTTGGTAAACCACTTTATTTATATTGGTTGCACAGTGGAGGCCGAGGCATGAGAATGTACAGGGTAAGTATTGAGAGACACTTACACATTTCTTCAGTAGCGAAGAATTCAGCTGCTCTTGTATTGCATATAATGTCCTTACGAGCTAGCTATTTCTACTCAACTTGGAAAGTTTTTGACTATATAATAGTACTTTGTTCCTCTAGCTCTCTTTTTGCCTTTGCCTGCGACTACTTTAAATAAATTTTAAAAATGACACTGGCAGTCCTCTTAACAAAGACACATTGCATTTCCATTTTGCAGAGTGGCTACAAGCTAATTCGAAAAGAAAGTGAAGAAGAACTTTCTCTGTTGAGATCTCATGATGTGGAAGAAGGAAGCAGTCATTCAGACAGTGGGCACAGAGAGGGAGATGGAGAGGAGGTAATGTTGTTACTTAAATTCTAGTTTGTACGTCCTTAAATGCAAATTAGAAGTGGAAAATCAAGAAGATTACCCATATGATGAGTTCCTGGAAGTTTTCAAGAAGATCAGCTGAGCCTTTACAAAGACCTTCATGCCTGAATGCAATTTATTTATTTTTATTTGTTGCTACTTTATCTTAATTTCTTGGTATATTCAGATTGCTACAGTAAACCACAGTCTCTCTGCAGTGGAGAACAGGAAGAGTGCTTTATTTGCATCTAAGACTATATTTTTTCTTAAATTGAAGAGCGGGATAAAAATCTTGGTATTTCTGTGGTTTTATGGATTCTTAAAATTAAGGCAAGAGGATGACTGCCCAGCTTCCTGTTAATTAATCTTGGCTTTTCGTCCAGACAAAAGTCTTTTTATGTCTGCAAATTGCATCTTGTGATGAGGATTATTGCTACTGGGGGTTGGGAGACATGGGCTGCATTCCTAGTCCACAGCTATTGCCACTGCTTAGTTTGGCTAAATTTTTAAAGGTCTTGACTGATTCCACTGATTTCGTGGGAACTGAAAGACAAAAAATTGCTTCAGTTTTGCAATGTGAAGACTATGTATAATACATGCTTCACTGGGGTAGTAGATTCTTGCTTCTTATGTATAGAAAATGCAAGAATTGTTTGCTTAAATAAAATCTGTCATGCAAAGTAATGCATTACAGTATTAACAGGGTTAATCACTAGCATTACTAATAATTAATCAATCCTGGTTTTAAAGATGCAAAAATTGACATTGTAAACTTATGACATTAATAGAATGGGAAATAGAACCATGACTGGTTTTACTACTTAGAGTTTTCAAATATTAGATCATATTCTTTGTGGAAAATAAAATTGTATTCACTTCTGTCTATCAACAAAGTAATTGGGGAAACTATATGGAAAACTGTAGCATCTGTTTGTGTTTGTTTTTTTTTTTTTTTAATGTTGTCTCTAATAAGAATCTTAAACATAGCAGATCTGTTTTTACTTGATATGAAATCAATGTATTACCGTTTAATGGAGTGTTTTTTCTATGTATATTAAGATTTGCAGATGAATGTTTTTGTTCTCTCATAATGTATTTTTGTATTTCAGCTTAATTTTGCAGATGTCTTTATGAATCAAGCAATTCATACTATTGAATACTGTCTAGGATGTATTTCTAATACAGCCTCATATCTGAGACTCTGGGCATTAAGTCTTGCTCATGCGCGTAAGTGGGGAGTTTTTTGTTTGGTTTTTTTTTAATCTGTCTTGATTTTTTTTTTAATGCAGGTTAGAGGGGGGCTAGCCTATGGAAGGGATACTACTGAGAAATTATCTTTCTCTTAATTTAAAAAAATTCCCTTTTTTAAGTAATTGTGATCTATGGAAAGCCCTCAAACTAAAATTGTGACTTAATGTTTGGAACCGAGTAATTGTCTTCATTGATTGTTCTGTGTTGTAAAGAGGCCGATTGTCTGAGCACAGTGTTACCTCACATAACAGTGTATCAGCAGTTGCAGTATCATTTCCTATTTTCCGTTGACTGACCAGTTTGGAAGGTATTTAGGCTCTTCCTAATGATGTCAGTGTTAAATGTTGCCATCAGTAGATGTTATTTTGAAACTGAGATGTACCTTGAAGTGTTTTGGGGGAGTGAGGGGGGCAACTAACTGGGATGGGGGGGTTGCCATGTGCAGCAGATCCTGTAATGTTAAACTAGAACACCAGTCAGTTAGAGTAGCTTCCTGCCTGAATGTATGCAGTATCAACATTAATTATGAAAACTATTTTTTAATAGAGTTATCAGAAGTTCTATGGCAAATGGTGATGAGAGTGGGTCTTCGTGTGGATACAACATATGGTGTCTTACTGCTAGTCCCTGTTCTTGCCTTTTTTGCTGTGCTAACAGTTTTTATTCTTTTGGTCATGGAGGGGCTTTCTGCTTTTCTCCATGCTATACGACTTCACTGGTAAGTTCATTTTTCTTTATACCGCTTTAACGTGTACTGGCTTGTTTAAGAGGAATTTTTGTGTCAAAATATTAGGTGCCTTATTATGAGAAAAGTGTAAAATTCAACAGCCTCATGCTACTGTAATAGATTTATTTAATGATATTAAATGCATGGGTTGTTAGTTGAAGATGGTTGTTCCTCTGAAATATTTTTAGTAAATTCAGATATTATATTGGCTTATGATGCATATTAACCTCTACCACATTCAGAGTTTATTTTAGTGCAAACCAGAGTACATTTGATTTATAATATTGCAGCTTTTCACACTGTAGAAGATTAGTAACGTGGATAAGTATTTTTAATTTCAGTCTGACTATATTACTGAATGGTTTCAGTCTATTTTGTTTATTTGGTTCAACAGAACTTATTTATATTAGTGAGCAAAACTTTTGCTAAAGTGGGGCTGCCAACCTTTAAGTATTTTAATCCTTTCTTAATATCACAAGCTTTGCACACTCCAGTGGATTCAGAAAATACTTAGTTTGAAACCCGATTAAATTTACAGCATAAGAAAAGGTAGACATGTATAAACACATGAAGCAGGGCTATATGCATTAGAGTATGGTCTTCATGATACTGTACATTTGCAAAACAATTAACTGCAACTAACTTGAGAACAAATTAGTGAGACGGAAGTGAGAAATGAGCCATTACAGCACAAGGTCGGTGTGTTTGTGTCTGAGAAATGTGAAATTTGCCTGGGTCTGTGATAGGAGGGTTAAATAGCGGCACAGAAAGCGTAAGTGACAGGATTAGGGTTGGTTTTGTTCAGCCTCTTGTGTTGCACTGTTCTATCCCTTGACAACCGGTCATTTTGGATTAATATAGAGCTTCTGTTTGGTTTTCTTTTTGTCTCGTTTCAGGGTGGAATTTCAGAACAAATTCTACTCTGGTGGAGGATACAAGTTTACGCCTTTCTCTTTCAAGCACATTTCTTTACATTTTAATAAAGATGATACGGCATAGTTTGGTTGCTGTCAGCAGAAATGTTTGGAATTGTCTGCAAATAATCATGTGATTGGATCTCACCTATGAGTGGTTTCTTGTAGGACAAAGTGTTTTTCACTGATTGCCTTATAATGCAGCCAAATAATTCTGTAATATATACCTCCCATAGAAATACATAGCAGATCTGGAGCATCTTGTAAAGTATATAGATATAAAATGTACATTTTTCTTGATAAACTAATGTTGTAAATTAATTTTATTCTTTAAAAAAAAAAGTTATTACTGCTTGTCCTAAAACCAGTGTAGGCGTGTTTTTTGTTGTTGTTGAAGCTGTTTATTTTCTTGAATGATTACTTTTAAGTTATCTGAGAGACTTTTCATCATATTAAACATTCATTACTAATCACATACTCAAGCAAGCTACCATCTCATGCACTTTGGGAACAATTCAGCAATGCAACAGAAGCAATGTATGTTTTCAGTGTCTATTCCAGAAGGATTATGAAATGTAAATTTATACATAGCAACAGAACGTGCTCTTTTTTGGCCATATTTAAAATTGCACCGAAAAAATGTTAACTGTTTATTCTGTTATTACTTCAACCTTTTATAGCCACAGGGGTATTTAATGTTATTGAATAAGGCAGAATTAGAAGTGGAGAGGGAAGGTATTAGCCGCCTTCTTTCCCTGTGGTGAGGAGCTTCTGCAAAGCCGGTCGTGTGTGGCCCCTTGCTGCCCGGGACCTCCATGGGCGAAACTCTCAGAAAAGGTCTTAACACTGTCTGGGGAAGGACTCAAATAAAAAATAGACATTTTTATCCCGGGTTCTGTTTTTACAGTGTAACTTTTCCCTGGGGAATGAAGAATTGGCCTTGATCAGTGTTTACGTTTGGCTGTAAGGATGTATACACAGTGTTACCTGATGTTGTTGAACCAAAGTTTATACCAAATAAGTGGAAAGGGGTCGTTTTGTATTATTTTTTGTATCGGTGTGAAAACGGGGATATTGCCGTACTGTTTTAACATCTGTGCCATAAGAAGAGCCTAAGTTCAATTTTTGCGCTCATTTCATACTAATTATGAATAAAACCTCGTTTGCGCTGTTCGGAGCGGGCCCTTATAGTTTGTACCTACCCCCTGGCAGCGCCGGAGAGGTACGGGCGGACCGCCTTCCCCGCTCCCCGCCTGGGCCCGCCGACG